AGTTGTTCGAATCCCGCGCAACGTGCTTTCACCTCCTGCGCGTGCGGCAGGCCTCCGCGATGGGAAACCGACGCGGCAACTGCGCGTCCGAGTTGAAGCGCTGCGCGGCTAGCATCCACGGGCGCGCGCCGTTCAGACTCCCATGATTCATCGGCCCGCGCAAGCTGCCAGTCCGATTCCGACGACCCCTTTCGGCATGTCTAGCATCGTCTCCAGTCCGGGACACGCCGCTGCGGCCCTGTCGATGAGCTGCGCCGTCTGCGGGAAATCAGCTTTGCACATCTTCGGGTTGTACTTCCAGCGGCCTCGGACAAGGGAGTGCGCCCGCTGGTCTCTTCATAAGATCAGGGGGTTCGGGCCCCCCAGTCACCCTTGCCAAAGGTCTTCCGGCTCGTCCCGGACCTCCAAGGGCGTTTGGCCAGGTTTCGCCAGCAGTCCCTGGCGATCAGAGCGGTGATCAGAGACGCCGAACAGAGACCCAAGACAGCACAAGAGCGCTCCAAAAAGGTCCCAGATGGCCACCAGAGGCCCCCAAGACCGCCCAGGAGGCCCTGAACAAGGCTTCCAGAACGCAGAGATCCTTTCTTTTCCGTATGGGAACGTGAAGCTTCCGCATATTCGCTGCTCGGGTTTGAACAGCGTCCAAAACAACCAAAAAGGCTTCCGCTATCGCCCCAAAACAACACATGAGACCCCCAAGAAAGCCTGTAGACGGCCTGGATGGCCCCAGAACTGCCCCAAAAACCCCTAACAGGGCCAAAACGAAACCCACATGGCCCTCACAAGGCTCCCGAGAGAAACCCGAGCAGGCCATGGGGGGCCCCCCAAAAAGCCATGGGAGGCCACCGCACAAGCCCACGTAGCTCCCGCAAGGTCCCTATGAGGGCCCAAGCTCCCCAACGCGGCCCAAGATTGCCCCAGGACGGCCCGAGAGGGCCCCAAGCCAGCCCACCAGGGCTCCAACAAAGCCCACACGGCGTTTTCCACCAAATTGACCAGAATCAAAAGTTTGCAACCACACTTCGCGGAAATCTGCTGCGAACCTGGGATTCGGTGCATCCCAAAAGAATTGCTTACTTTCTCATGACCCGTTGCGACCCGCTGCGACATGACATCCTCGGCTTAGCATTGTGTTGTACTTTGCGGCGTTGCTTGACATTGCGTCGGTTTGCTTGGCTCATTCGCGTGGCTTGCCATTCGCTCGCATTGCGTACCAGGGCACCTGAGCCACGGGCGGGCCAGTGTGCGGGCCTACGAAAGCCTTTCGTCGTATTTCAATGCCAGACACATATGCAAACGTGTACGTTGGCTTCTGGACAGCGGTCCTCGGTGCGGCGCAACCGACATTCTTCGCCGTCCCCCGACGACGCCATCTCTGTCACTCCTTCTGCTCCTCCTCTGGGCCCTCTTCTTCCTCCTCCTCCTCCTCCTCCTCCTTTCTGCCGCTCCACCGCTCGTCCTCCTCTCCTCGTTCTCCGAGATTCCCTCTCCTCGTTTCCCGAGATTCCCTGCCTCCTCTCCTTCGCCCTCCACCCGGCGCCTTTCGGGAGCCCCTGGAGGCCCTGGAAGGACCACGGACCGCCCGAACTTTTGAAGACTTCTGACAACCACCGCTGGGAAGGGGCCAAATGTCCAAGGCCACTCGGGATGGCGCAAACGACCAACATAAGCAGTGCCTCAGAGACCAAGGTGCATGGCGCGAAGCGCCACTGCACTCTTGTGTATCTATATATATATATATATGTTTAGATCTGTACTCTTGAGCCTTGTCCTCACCGGGTCGCCCGCGCTCTCTGTATCGAGATCTGGCAGATCTTCAACAATTCTTGCAAAGACGGGGCGCCCTGGCGCCAACTGGGGACGCCCCAAACACATGAAAAGTGGCTGGCGTCTTATGCGAGCATTACCTGGCGGGCATTGCACAAACAACGAAAGAGAGGGGGGGACAAAGAACAGGGAGGGGGGAAGGGAGACTTGAACTGATTCGCCGACGGAGACGTCCGTGCGGAGAGGCTTCGAGGCAGCGCGAATTGCATAAGGTTGTGAAGCCCAACGACCGAGCAAAGACTACGCACTGCCCTCACGGGATCGCCAGCGCTCAGCAAAGCATATATGCAACAGCGGCTGCGAAGAATAGGCGCCCAGCCGCACTCGGAAACAATCAGGCCCCAATGGTTGCACTGGCCATGGGGCCGCAACGAAGCAACAACCCGAGAGACACCGAGAACCTGCGGCTTGAAATGGTTCTACAAAACAAACGCCCGCAAATATGATCAGGCACCGGGCACGAGAGAGGCGGTGGCCCGCCGCCTGTGGTTTAGCCGCTGGCGCCAGACGGGAGCGACCAGCAGGGGGCCCCTTGTTCGGAATCGTGTTCTGAAGGAGGTGGACCAACGCACCGGTACACGTCGGTCGGAAGAAGTAGGTAAAACATGAAGTAGAAAGGCGGATTAAGTTGATTGGGTCCAGGCCCACCCAGAGAATAACAGGACACAGCAAAAGCGTGCCGATTCTCGAAGTAGGAAGGCGCTTGAAGTAGATCAGGATCTGGGCGTTCAAGAATACCTACTTTCCACGACCAGTGGCGCCTCTGTCCCAGGGCCTGATGCTGACCCGCAGTGGGGCTGCTGGAACTGCCCTGCCCGCCCGCGCGCGGCACGGATCGCGCCGCGGGGCAGGGCCGCCACCCGGGCAGCACGCGCAGCGGCTGGCTGGCCCCCGTCCCCGGCTGCAGCGCTCGGCCGGGGCCGCCCGCGCTGGCGCCCCGCGGGGCATCTGCGCCACCAGCTCGGCCTCGCGCGCGGGCGCCAACGGCGGAGGCAGGACTCCCAGGGGCACGATACCCCGCTCGCGGGCCTCGGCGGCGCCCATGGGCTCGTCGGAGCTGGCGACCGGGGTGCCCGCGTCGACCCGGGCTGGACACGAGCGATGGTGACCGCTGAAGGGCACGGCCTCGACGTCCGCAGCCGCCTCCGAGTTGGAGTCCGGATCGGGCGGGTCGTCCAGCCCACGGACCCCGATGCGGCCGTCGGCGATGCAGAGCGCGAAACCTTCGCTTCGGGGGACCGCTGGGGCCAGGAGGAAGCCGTTCGCGGGGACGGCCTGACTGTCGCACCGGACCGTCCAAAGGTCCGTGTGCTCGTCCGCGCCGCCCCAGGCGCGCTTCGTGGCCGTGATGCGCATCCTCGAGCTCTCGGAACACACGCCCACGGCGAGCTCCGACGCCTCGATGCCACAATCCTCCGAGGTCTTCCCGCGCGCGCGGCCTCCACCGTCGCCCCGCAACAGCTCTTCTCACAGGTGCGAGTCTCGGACCTGGTCGGGACCTTCGCCTGGCAGCAGGTGCTCGAGCCCCGCCACGGCCGCAGCGCGGGTTTCGAACGCACCGAGGAGGAGGTGGAGGAGGAGGAGGATGCTGCTGCTGCTGATGATGATGCTGATGTTGATAATGATAATGGTGATGAGGAGGAGCAGGGGGTGGAGGAGGAGGAGGAGGAGGAGGAGGTGGAGGAGGAGGAGGACGACGACGACGACGAAGAGAAGGAGGAGGAAGAGGAGGAAGAGGAGGAGGAGGAGGAGGAGGAGGAGGAGGAGGAGGAGGAGGAGGAACCCGCCCCCCTCCAACTTATGGTGGTGGCGGTAGAAAACAAGCCCATCAGAAAGAGCCCTCGGCCCTCACCGAGTTCGGGGTCGGGCGGCCGACGGGCTCAAGAGCACGGTGCGCCGGCGCGCCCGCAGCGCTCGTGCGAGCGCTGGTCGGGCCGGGGACCCTCGAGCAACCAGTGCAGCACCGCGGGTCCCCGCCCGCCCTCGAAGAAGAAGGCTCCTCGGCCTCGCAGAAGTCCGAGCGCCGTCACCCGCATCGCGTCCCCTCGGCATCGCAGGCCGATGGCCAGCGAAGGGTGCGGCAGGGGCCCGACCACAGGAGGCCTTCCACAAGAAGCCCAACCCTGAGACCCGAGGACGTCCCTCGATTTCTTGGCGTGGGAACCTCGCGCTCTCCATCGCAAAACATCGAAGCCCAAGAAACCACGGGCACCCTGGAGGCAAGCAGGTTGTTCCTTGGCATGGCCCCCCGCTGTATGAGCCACAGGAGCCAGAGCTGCAGCAGCAAAGCAGAGCAAAGAAGAGCGCTGTGCTCTAGACTTGAGAGCAGATGCGCCAAGGGAGGCGTCGGCGCGGCGCGGCGAGGCCTCGAGGCAGTGCACGCCACTTGCGGTTGTGAGGCACCCCAACATGTAGTTATACAAAGGTATATATATATATAGAGACACGGTACACAGAGACAGATAGAGAGAGAGAGAGAGACAATATAAAGAGAGACGACATGTGTATACATACGTAGAACGAATACATAGGTATATACATCTGTACACTTATAGAAGCATGAAAATAAACATACATAGAGGGATCTATACTGAACACACATACACATACACACCATAGACAGATATTCAGGGAACATGGCAAATATAGAGAGATAGTGCTGAGCGAGAGAGAGAGAGAGAGACAAACAAACAAGCCAGAGAGAGATATATAGCGAGCTAGAAAGGGCGAGGCAGAACAACACCAGAGGGATATATACGATTTACGAACGAGAGAAAAGGAGATACACGAAACCAAAAGAGGGAGAGGGGAGAGACGGCGAGAGAGAGAGAGACAGAGATAACACACACAAACACAAACATGAGAGAACGAGAACGAGAGCAAACCAACTGCGCCCCATGAGCCATCCTCCCCCCCTTCCTCCTCCGAGACCACTGCAGGACTTGAAAGAACGACCGAACCCTCGAACCCGCCTCTCGAGCTATATTCTTGGGGCGCAGGCGCGTGACCATGCCATCAGAAGACCAGGATGGCGCGCGCGGGAAAGGCCTCCGTCGCGTGCTTCCTCTTGAGAGAGAACAACCGGACCGTCGAACCCGCCTCTCGAGCCATTCTGGGGGAGCAGGCGCGTGACCGTGTCATCAGAAGACCGGGATGGCGCGCGCGCGGGAGGCCTCCGTCACGTGCTTCCGCTTGAACGTGCCCTCCGTGATGACGATGCCCTTCTCGTCCAGGTGGGCCCCGACCTCCTGGGGCAGCGGGCGGGGGGGCCACGCCCGGCGGCCCCCGGGGGGCGGGCCGGGACGAGGGAGGTTGGCCGCGGGGCGGTGAGGAGGGAGATGGAGGAGGAGGAGGAGGAGGAGGAGGAGGAGGAGGAGGAGGAGGAGGAGGAGGATAAAAAGGAGGAGGAGGAGGAGGAAAAGGAGGAGGAGGACGAGGAGGAGGAGGAAAAGGAGGAGGAGGACGAGGAGGAGGAGGAAAAGGAGGAGGAGGGGGGATGGCAACGAGAAGGTGCCGGGCAAGGGCAGAGGACGAGGCCGGGGGAGGGTCGGAGGAGGCCAGCCGCCAGGGGTGTGGGGGCACTCTGGCGGGGAACCTGCGGCCACGAGGCGCCCCTGAGCATCCAAATCGTGTGGCCTCCGCTGGGCGAGAGCGCCTCGGTGCGACCATCAACCCCATTTTTTCCCCCTCCTCCCTCGCGGTCGGCGAGGGCGAGGGGTGAAGGGGGAATGTTGAACGTGTGGTCGGCCGTGCTGCGAGTGTCGAGTCGTTTGTGCATGCGTGAAGCAACTGGCCTGTGAGCCTCGGGACCTCTGCACAGTCCCGTCGGGGAGAGACTGGCAATACGAAAACGTCCCACTCGAGTCCTCACGTGGCAACGCCGCGGGGTGGAAAAGATACCATTCCACTAGATTCGCCAAGCGGCAACGCCTAAGAAACAGAAGCGGCGCTCTACTCGATCCCCTGATTTTCAAAGCTTCCGCGATTTTCTGCCGCACAGGACACACTCGGACTGCTCAATCCTAGGACAGGCCTGCGCGGGCCGATGGGCGCGTGGAGCGGTAACGCCGCGGAGCGAAAATAATCTGCTCCGCTCGACGCGCCACGCGGCAACGCGCGGGGGGCGAAGGAAACCTACTACTCTGCTCTGATCGTTACGAAGCAGCACCGAGCGGCAGACAACAATGATGCGAAACTTCGACTCGCCACGTGGCAACGCCTGGGGGTGCGAAAACCCTAAACCCTAAACCCTACACCCTAAACCCTCAACCCTAAACCCTAAACTCTAAACAAAAAAACACACCACTCTACTCACCACGTGGCGGCGCCTTGGGGGCAAAACAACAATCCACTCCACTCCACTCCGGGCGTGGCAACGCCGCGGGAAGGAAACTACAGCATTCCACCCGACTCGTCACGTAGAGACGCCTCGGGGGGGGGGTGGAGGGGCGAACAAATGCTCCGCTCGATGCCTTGATTTTGAAATCTTCGGCCGCACTGGCACACTCAGAGTTCTCAATTCTAGGGTTGGCCTGCGCGGGCCGATGGGCGCGCGCAGCGGCAACGCCGCGGAACGAAACTAAGCTGCTCCGCTCGACGCGCCACGCGGCAACGCGCGGGGGGCGAAGTACACCGACTACGCTACTCGACTCGTCACGCGGCAGCGCCGAGAGGCGGACACGCATACGCATCCACTTCTACTCGCCACGTGGCCACGCCTGGGGGGGGGGCGACAGAACTAGCGCTCCCCTTCTGCTCGCAAAATGGCACCGCCTCGGGGGCAAGACGACCTCCGCTCGAGCCCCGGCGCGGCGACGCCGCGGGGCGGACCATGCCGCTCGAGTCGCCGCGTGGCAAGGCCTTGGGGGATATTATTAGTATAAGCGGTGTGACGCGCCAGAGGGCAATGGAAGAGAGCGAGAGCGGCGGCGCTCTCCCGCGCCGTGCTCTTCCCGACGCTAACGCCGGCGTGCCAACGTCTGGAAAAAGAACGGCGAACAACAATGCAGTAGGGGCCAGTCCGCGAGACACCTTCCACGAGAAACCCAGCCCTGGAACCCCAGGGCGTCCTTTCGTTTTTGATATAGGATCGTAGCGCATGGCAGAAGCCATCGAAATCTAAGAAACCCAGGGCACCCTAGGGGCAAGCAGGGTGTTTCTTGGCATGGGTCTCCACTATACTCCGCGCGATGCGCTGATTTTGAAATCTTCCGCGCGGGTCGGCCACCCTGACACGCGCAGAGTGCTCAGTGCCAGGGCAGGCCTGCGCGGGCCGACGGGCGCGCGCAGCGGCAACGCCACGGGGCAGAGAGCAACTGCTCTCTTCGACAAATCGCGCGGCAACGTCCGAGGGGGCGACACGTCAGAAACTACATTGCCCTACTCGTCACGTGGCAACGCCGAGGGACGGCAGAACCATGCGAATCCACTCTCGCTCGCCACGTGGCAACGCCTGGGGAGCCAAAACATCGCGCGCCAATCTACTCGCCACGTGGCAACGCCTTGGGGGCGGACAGTACCAGTTTCTATACATATATCTATGTATGTATGTATACATATGTATATACACGCACGTGCCACTCTACATGCTCCGAGCGTGGCATCGTCGAGAAGATAGCGCTCCACTCGATGCCCCGCGTGGCAACGCCTCGGGGGGAGAGGAGGCGAAGAGCATGCTCCGCTCGACGCCCTGCTCTTGACCACGGCCAGCACCCATGCTGCACACGGGGAGACAGAGAAACAACATCGCAGCTCGACCTCGGAAGGCTCCCCCGTCCGCCCCCCCCCCGACAGATCCGTTCGCCGGGCCCGAATCCCACCGCCGGGGCGCCGAGTCCTGCCTCGTGCCCCGCTTCCCCGTGGAGCAGCGCTGTTCTGGTGAGCGCCGGGCTGTTCGCGTGACGGCGCAACCTCGTTCTGGTAACGAGCGCGCGTTTCTGGTTTGGAATTATCCCGGCCGAAGCGGGGAGGTGCCCAACGGTTCGGGATTCTTGGGCAATCGCAGGTTACTCACTTTGGCAGCAGTGGCTGTTGGCCGCCCCGTTCGGTGCGATTCCTGGTTTTTCTCACCGAAGCGCCCGCCTCGACGCTCGTACTAACTCTTTGCGTCGAGGCGCGACCCTGCGCTTCGTTGCAACCCCCCGCCCACGACAAGCGCAAAGGCTCCTGCGCGGGAGGTCCCACCGACATTCCGACTCTGCGAGAGGCCCCCTCTCAACTCCGAAGCGGATTAGATACATCAGCCAGCAGCAGCAGCAGGAAGCCAAGCCTCCGGCAGGACGCACAAGCAGAAGAGAGTGCGGTCGGCTGCTCGTCGTAAGAACGAAATATGTGAGCGTTGTTCTAAATCGGCGTTTCGACGTTGGGCGGAAGGGGGGGAGGGGGGGGGGTCTGGCTCCGGACCTCTGCTTACTGCGACTGTTTGCAGCAGTGCGTCCTTTTGGGGAGGGGCTCGACCTGCTTGAAACAGGCTACTCCTTGGGGGGGGGGGGGAGTTGGGGGGGGGGTGCGAGAGCCCGCGCCGATCGGCAACACGGTGAATCAAAAACGGTCGCCATGCGTAGCATGCGCCGCAGCAAACTGTCGCTCCAGCGCGCCTGGAGGAGGCACGGGGGGGGGGAGGGCGCGGAGGGACAGCCACATGCACGGTGTCAAGCCCGCGGAAAAGTCCTGCCCCCCCTGCGGAACACTGTCGCTCCAGCGCGCCTGGAGGAGGCAGGGGGTGGGAGGGCGAGGAGGGATAGCCACATGCACGGTGTCAAGCCCGCGGAAAAGTCCTGCCCCCCCTGCGGAACAATGTCGCTTCAGCGCGCTCGGAGGAGGCAGGGGGGTGGGAGGGCGAGGAGGGACCGCCACATGCACGGTGTCAAACCTGCGGAAAAGTCCTGCCCCCCCCGCGGAACACAGGGGCGAGCAGACCACGGAGGAGCCGAGGACAGGAAGGGGGCGAGACGAGGGCGCGGGGCGCGCGCGAAGCCCCAACCAATGTGGCGGACTGCACTTCGGTCGGACGTGTCCCCCATATAGGCAGATTTTGAAGGACAAACAACAAATGCACCAACACTTATCCAAACATGATCCAAACATCATGTCGAACATAGTCGAAACATCGTCCTCATATTATTTATTGCTTGATTGTTTTTGAAATATTCCTCCTGTAGAAGGACGCGCCCGACTTAGGACTAAACAGAGCAGCAGTCAATCCCCACAAAGTTGGACGGCAGCCCAAGTAAAGCGAACGAGAGTGGGCAGGAAGAGGAGAGGAACAAGGGCAGGAAGAGGGAAAGACCATGCGGTACATCTTGTCAGATCAGTGTTCGTAAGATAGAGTTTGCGGCTGGTGCTGCTGCGGTATTTGAGCACTCGCTGCTGCCAATGGCTGCTGCCGCAGCTACTGCCAGTAGCTGCTGCTGCAAGTACTGCTGACCCACCCAGTAGCTGCAGCTGTTGAGCAGGGACCGACCGTCCCGGCATTCCTATAGTCCTACCACGACATGTTCTTAGAACCCCAAACATGTTCTAAGAACAACAACAAAAAACATTGCTCTTAGAACATACACCCGATGTGTTGAAACAAGACAATCTCAACCAGAAATGTTCTAATAACATTTCGTGGAAGCCACAAATGGTTCTTAGAACATTGTTTGGTGGGGCTATCGGCGAGCCAAGACGCTTCGCCACTGCTTGCAGCTGGTAGCCGTTCGGTGCAGTCCGTGATACATTCATCGATCGAGCAGCCTCCTCCACGTTCGCGGCGCTGCTAGGGCCGACGATCAAATGACGTGTCAAACGAGTGCCCCGACCCTTCGCCGGCAACGGCCACAACAACGCCACCGTGAACTGTTCCTGGTGCCCTTGTTGAATCTGGCCCTCCCGCCGACCGCAGAGACCCTGCCCGCTCCCAACGATCTTCGGGGGGCGCGCAAGCATGGGGGTAGCGACCCATGGATTTGCGCGCGGTCGCCAAATAATCCATGGATCGGGGGGAGCGCCCTCCCCAAACTGCGGCCGGCGCCGCCCTGTTCGGCGGCGGGGAATCCCCGATTCCCCATGGAAACGGTGCCCGTCGCTACAGTCGGGGCCTTGACCTAAGGAGCCCAAAATAAGGAACGAGGCCCCTTTTTTCCATAAGTTGAACTTCGATTTCCGATCGAAAACATAAGGAAAACCTGAGGCAGGCTGCGAAACACTCAAGGAACGCGGAGCCCCTCCCCAACGAAAAGGGTTCCTTCTTCAGGGCCCCGACTGTAATCCACGCCCCTCAGTCCGTGCCTGCGTTCGCCTGACATCTCAAGACGTCTGCTCGCCCGGCTCCGAGGCGGCTCTCGGACGATGGATGGGGCGGCGGGCCGGGGAGGGGGGAGGGCCGGGGAGGAGGAGGAAGCAACGCCCTCGCCCGCACGCGCGCTCTCCCGCGCTACACGGGGATGGGAGGGAGGGGACGGGGAGGGGAGAGGGGAGGGGATGGGAAGGAGGGGGGGGGGAAGAGGGGAACGACCCATGCTCGGCAGAAGAAGCCTCCTCCCTCCTTCTCCTTCAGAGGGTGGAGGAGCGCAGCCAACGAGAAGTGCCCCCCCCCCTCGTCGAGGACGGCGTGGGAAGGTACGTGATGGTTCCTTGCCTCCTCCGCCGCTGCTCCCGCGGTGCGCCCCGCCTTGTTGACGAACACCGTGGCCAGACACGGTGGGCCCTCGGGGCTCTCGTTGAGCTTGGAGAAGTGATTCAGCTTCTCCAGGAAGTTGCCCTCACCGCTTCGACGCCCACCCGAAGGACGAGGACGAAGAGGGGGACCAGAGGGGGAGGACCACGAGAAGGGACACAACGCCGCGACGATGGTGTTCATCTCTCGGAGTTCGCGGTGGCTGCAAGTCAACGGAATATGAACGGAGCAGCGTCTACCCCGCGTAGAAACGCATTCTGTGCGACGGCTTAAACCATGTTGGGCGGAGTAGTTTGAGGTCCCTGTTTGAACTGACAAAGCTAAACAAACATCAAAGCGACCGAAGCTCCAGTACCGAACGCCGCCAACTGTATGGCGTGATGGGAACCATTCGGGGGGTCGGAGACCCATCGACCACCGAAAGATGATGGACACTTTTGGTCACGGCGGTGTATGAGGAGCGGGGATGGGGGGAGGATGACGAGGAGAGTGGAGGATGAGGGAGGAGGAAGGAGGAGGGACGAGGACGGAGGAGGATGAGAAAGGAGGAAAAAAGAGGGATGAGGGAGGAAGGAGGAAGGAGGGAGGGAGGGAGGGAGGGAGGGAGGGAGGGAGGGAGGGAGGGAGGGAGGGAGGGAGGAGGAGGAGGAGGAGGAGGAGGAGGAGGAGGAGGAGGGCGATGAGGAGGAGGAAGAGGAGGAGGAGGAGGAGGAGGAAGGCGGGGAGGAGGAGGAGGGTGGGGAGGAGGGCGGGGAGGAGGAGGGCGGGGAGGATGAGGTGGAGGACGAGGAGGAGGAGGAAACTAGAAATGCGGATGCAGAAGGCGAATGTGTGCTTCCGGCTGCCACGCCCCAGGGCAGAGGTGGCAGCGCACGGGCTGGGCGAGCGCAGGCGGAGCAGGAGGACCTGCCAGGCTCGGGCCTGGCGCTCGAGCGAGCCTGTGATCGGGCCGGCAACTGCAGGCAAGGCCGCTGCTAACCTTCGATCGGGCATGTCCCCCGACAGGCGGATTTTGGACGACAGCTAAGACATGGTCAAACATATCCGGCACGGCTCGAAAAAAGTCCAAACATCGTCCCCCGACTATGCCTCGAATCTTTTTGAATGTTCCTCCTGTAGAGGGACAGGCCCGACTTGATACTAACCGCCCTTCTCGTTTAAAAAGTTGCCTGGCCGCAAAGGGTGGGCAGTTTCGCCTGAGTTCGACACGTCCCTGGGTTGACGGCCTTCGACAACGACCATCGTCGGCCACGTACGTCGGCGACGAGGATGGTGTCGTGTGTCGTCGGGTCGCGCCGATCGGCGAGCGGCCTGTCCGGCGGAGCGCCGGCGAACCCGCCGCGCGAGGGAGCGCGGGGCGCGAGAGCTCGCCAGGCGCTGGGCTCCTCCCAGACCTCTCGTCGGCGGCGAGCCCCCGGGGGAGGCTCGGGAGCTTCGGGTTCGAGCGGCCGCGTCGGTCCTCGGCCGATTTCCAACCGCGGGGTGCTCGCCGAGCGGCGAGCTGTGTGACCCGACGACCAAGCTCGGCGGCGCGCCCGAGGGGGAACTCGAGAAGGGGCGGGCCTTCTCAGAAGGCTCGGAAGGCCTCGGGCCTTCTGTGGATGTGTCTCCAAACAGGCTGGCCTTATGGGAGTTCTAAGTCAAACCCTACTAATTGGTCCGTTGCCCCCCCGCCCGCCCGAATTCCTGTGGCTATGCCTATGCCTATGCCTCTCTCCTGACTCCTATGCCTACGCCTACGCCTACGCCTGTGCCTATGCCTATGCTCGCTTGCGCTTGCTTGCTTTCGCTTGCTTGCTTCCGCTTGCTGGTTTGCGCTTGCTTGATGTTGCTCCTCCCGTCCTGCTCCCGTCCTCCTGTCGTCCTCCTCCCATCCTCCTCTCGTCCTCTTCCTGGATCCTGTCCTCCTCTCTATTTGGAGTAAACGCTGGCTGATATTCTGAAACTTCCCCGAAAACATCGAACTTGCCTCAGATTGTCGGAGAGCTTCCGAGCAGCCCAGCCACTTTCTGAGAATGCATGCTCACTTCCCCCCAGCCGCGCCGCCGATCCTTGTAGCAGGACGAAACGAGGACCGGGGATGTCTCATGGACTGGAGGCCTCCTAGATGGGGGGTCGGACTAGGAGAATCACGCCGCTCCGCCGATGCATCGACGATGCGGCTCAAGATGGAGCCATAATTTCCCCACGCCGACGTCGCCGATGCATCGCAAACGTCGCCGATGCATCGACGATGCATCGACGATGCATCGGCGATGCAGCGCGATCCTCCGACCCCATCTGCTCGGGCCCAATCTGGGTGGCCTGGATGAACCTGGCCATGCCATACACACACCCCTGCAGTCAGAGTTGTTAGTAAGGATGCACTATCAAGATGCAAGCCCCCTACGTCGAGGCTTCTCAAGCGGGGCAGGCCATCGAATGCGGTTCAGGATTAGCAAGGATGCAAGGAGTACACGTGGGAAGGCTGCCCATCCGTATCGTTGATCTCGACTGCAGTCCTCATCCTCGTTTGGACGACCCCCGACCACTGTTGGCCCCAAGGGCCGCCAAGACGCAGCTCGTTCTGAAGAGCCAGCCCTACGCGGGAGGGAAGGAGAGCAGCGCCCGGACGGCGCTCTGGCTGCAGATCACCTGCGCGGGGGCACGTGCCAGCGCAAGCAGGGCGAGAGCCTCCGGTCCGGCCAAGCACGCAAGCAGCCCAGGAGGAGGAGGAGGGCACGGGGCTAAGGAAGGCAAAGAATTAGGCCGACCCGACCCCAATTCAATACCTGGCAGGCTCCCCGCGTCCCCTCAAGGGAGCAGCAAGGGCGGGGGCGCGCCTGGCGGTTTGCCGCAGGCGGGCCGCGGCGGCCCGAGCGAAGGCAGCCCTGCCCCCTTCTGTGCAGGAGGAGGCGGAGGAGGCGGGCACGGAAGGACATACGTATGTGGCCCATTGTAATAACCCGTCTCCTGGGGGTGCATCTGCACTTCCGCCGGCCTCCGCCTGCCGTCCGCCGGCGGAACCGCCCTCGCTCTGCTCCCGCCGGGAGTCCGCGGGCCTCGCGCCTCCTTCCGCCGGGAAAGCAATGGCGGTTCCTTCGATCCTCGAGGGCGGGGCCCTCTCTGGAGCGCCCCCACTGTAGACAGTGGAGGCCAGTCCACAGGAAACCTTCCACAAGAAAGCCAACCCTGAGACCCGAGGACCTCCACTGATTTTTGGTGTGGGAGCGTCGCGCTTTCCACAGCAAGACCATCGAAACCCAAGAGACCCAGGGGGCACCCTGGAGGCAAGCAGGGTGTATCTTGGCATGGGCCTCCACTGCACGCCTCCTTTCGCCGAGGAAGAGATGGCAGTGCCTTCGACCCTCGAAGGCGAGGCCATCTCTGGAGCGCCCCCAGTGTGTATAGGGACATGCGGGGGGAGGCTCCGCGCCGTGAGAAGAGTCATGGCATCGGGAGGTCTTGGCTTGGAGGAGGAGGAGGAGGAGGAGGAGGAGGAGGAGGAGGAGGAGGAGGAGGAGGAGGAGGGAGGAGAAGGAGGAGGGAGGAAGAGGAGGAGGAGGAGGAGGAGGAGGAGGAGTAGAGGAGGAGAAGAGGAGGAGGAGGAGGAGGAGGAGGAGAGGAGGAGGAGAAGAGGAGGAGGAGGAGGAGAGGAGGATGAGATGAGGAGGAGGAGGAGCAGGGAGGAGAAGGAGGGCGGGGAGGAGGGCGGGGAGGAGGAGGAGGGAGGAGAAGGAGGAGGAGGAGGAGAAGGGAGGAGGAAGAGGAGGAGGAGGAGGAGGAGGAGGAGGAGGAGAAGCAGGAGGAGGGAGGAGGAGGAGGCGGAGGAGGGAGGAGGAGGAGGAGAAGCAGGAGGAAGAGGAGGAGGAGGAGCAGGAGGAGGAGGAGGAGGAGGAGGAGGAGGAGGAGGAGAGGCGAGGGATCGGGCGAGCAAGGGCCCATCGGGCGCGGCGCGGCACAGCGGGCGCCTCTCCGGTCCGCACGATGATGCCGCTGGCGCCCTGCTCCTTGGCCTTCATGGCGGCCTGGTGAAGGTCGACCTTGTCGCTGATCTGGCGGGGACCCAGTGGCGACGTCGTCTGTCGGCGACAGCGACGGCCACCCCCGCGACGACGGCGCCGACGTCAACGACGTCGGCGGCAGCGAATCTGATCTGACAGCGAGGGTGGGAGCCCCGCAGGCCCCGTGCCTGCGGCCTCCAGTCTGGAGCGGCTACGTAGGCGACTGGACTGAGGAGGGGGGGCTCCTGGACGAGGAGGAAAGGGCAATGTTCAGGCGGCTCGGAATCACTCTACACTATCTTCTTGATTGAGACTAGGGGTTGCCAGCATGTTGCCTGGTGTTGCGTGTATGCAGGCCCGCCATTCCTGTCATAATCATATGCGAAGTGCACGCTGCGGAAACATATTGGACCATGCGCGGGTAAGCCGCGATCTTCTGCACTGCTCTTTGGCCAGGAAGATAGGTATACCTTGGCGCGTGCGGCGCAACTCGTGGGCGTTGCAAACCTGTTGGTAGCCCCCAAACGTGGTGGTGACAACACCTGGCGGTGAGTCTCGGGCGATTTGGTGTCGCCACCCGGTCTGGGGACTCGTTTGGTTTTTCGAAGATGTCCCGAACGCTGGTGGGTCCAGGAGTCACAAAATCCAACGGTGCCCCCGTGTTCCAAAACCCGGCGGTGACTTTTTGGGGATTCCAGGTCACCAACTGATATCTCACTCCCTGGTTTGGGGGCTCCCAATCCTTGCTAGCGTCTGTATTGCTTCCCGGTGATTGTCGATGGCGGCCCCTGCCCAGGCTGAGACTCGGGTGCTGCTACCAGCTGTGGTGGGATGGCGCGGGAGAGACGGCCGGCCTTCGGGGGAGCTGGGTAACTTCACCGCTCCCCCCTACCCTGGGTCTGGACATGGGGACACCGCAAGGGGTTCGAGCGTCATCCTCGTGATTTTCCCTCCTGGTGCTTGCATCAGCTCTGGCCGTCTTCGGGGGAGGGGGGGGGGGGTCGCGAGGCTCGTCGGCGCCGCCCACTGCTTCACCCGCGGGGCCCTGGAGGCGCCTCGTGGGCTTGGGGCCGCCCCGTGGGCTTAAATCGGGCCTGTCCCCCAACAGCGGGATTTTCGACGAAAAATAAGAAATACCCCAAAAATGATCAAACAATAATCCAAAAATGGTATGGGGACTATTGTTTGAGTATTTGTTTACCTTTTTGGTGCATTTTTGGGGTATATTAAAAGAAACATTGTTCGTCGAAAATCCCCCTGTAGGGGGACAAGCCCGACCTAACCGTGGGCTTGAGGGTGCTTCCTGCGAGGTGATCCGCGTTGGACGTACCTCCTCTGGGCCTCCCAGGAGCCCACGAAAATGGCGACAGTTTTGCAGATCGCAGCCCCCAGGGCACCGCGAGGTCTCGAGGTGATCCGCGTTGGACGTACCTCCGCTGGGCCTCCCAGGAGCCCACGAAAGTGGCGACAGTTTCGCAGATCGCAGCCCCCAGGGCACCGCGAGGTCTCGAGGTGGTCCGTGTTGGACGTACCTCCGCTGGGCCTCCCAGGAGCCCACGAAAATGGTGACAGTTTCGCAGATCGCAGCCCCCAAGGCGCCGCGAGGTCTCGAGGTGATCCGCGTTGGACGTACCTCCGCTGGGCCTCCGACAGTTTCGCAGGTCGCAGCCCCCAGGGCACCGCGAGGTCTCGAGGTGGTTCGCGTTGGACGTACCTCCGCTGGGCCTCCCAGGAGCCCACCAAAGTGGCGACAATTTCGCAGATCGCAGCCCCCAGGGCACGGCGAGATCGCGAGGTGATCCGCGTTGGACGTACCTCCGCTGGGCCTCCCAGGAGCCCACGAAAGTGGCGACAGTTGCGCATATCGCAGCCCGACGGCACGAGAGCAGAGGAGAGGGGACACACAGGAAACAGGAGAGGAGGCGGGGAGGAGGGGGGAGGAGAAGGACGGGGCGACCACACTGCTCTATTCAAAACGAGTTCCCAACCATAGGAGGGTTGGGACAAAAATCCAAACATATCCCAACAGAGTCAACAAACAATTGGAACATCGCCCCTGACTATTTTTCATTACTACTCTTGCAGACTTTCCTCCTCTAGAGGGACATGCCCGACTTACGACTTGTAGATTCGAGCCCCTTCGACGCCCCCCAATGGAGCCCTCGGGGAGCCTCCAGCGGCCCGCTGTGCTCTCAGACTGCGGGCGGCCTGCACGCCCGCTCCGGCAGATCTCGTCGCTCCCCCCGTGAGGCCCTCGTCGCGGCACCTCTGCGGCAGCAGGGGCCGCTGGCTACAACTACGGCCCCTCTCTCTCTCTCTCGCAGCGCCACGGCGGCGTGCCCGGCCTCCTCCACGCCTTGCCTTGCACACGTGGCTCCTCCCGGTCGCACCCATAGGCGTGTTGGCAGGGCGGTGTCCGAGGGCTTCGCCCAAGCGGTCCTCAACACTTGTGATCCAGAATCTGGAAACTTGCAGCAGCAGTGTACACGGATGAACGGCGTGCTCTTCTCAAAATGAATGAAGCTCCCGCCTCAGCGCCACGCACATGCGCCTTGAAAGCTTGCAGTTGCAAGGAGGAGGAGGAGGAAGAGGAGGAGGTGAAGCTCTCGCCTCAGCGCCACGCGCATGCGCCTTGAACGCTTGCAGCTGCAAGGATGGAGAGCGGATCGTGTTCAAAATTGGGTTCCGGCCTTCGCGCCATGCGCACATCCTTCTTGAAAAGCTCACAGTACTGATACTGACGGAGGGCGTCTGGTCTTCAGAATGCGGCTCTCGCTATAGACTTCTTCACCTGTGACGAAATCAGATGTGCATGTCTGCGGCGCAACCGTTGCACGGAGGGGAGCGGCGCCTTTTCACGACGGGGCTCTTTTCCCTGGACATCTCGTCTAGAGGCCTCCTAGATGGGGTCCGAGTAGATAGGGTCGGAGGCGCGCCGCATCGCAGATACATCGGCGATGCATCAGCGACGCCGGCGTGAAGAAAAGCGGGCTCCGCATCAAGACGCATCGCCGATGCATCGGCGATGCGATGCGATCCTCCGACCCCATCTGCTCCGACCCCATCTGGGAGGCCTAGATCGTGGCACCTGGTGAATAAGACATTCTCACAGTCCCTGAAGATGCACGGTTTCCCCCGGGGCCTTAGGCGACCCGAGCAGGAGGAGGAGGAGGAGGAGGAGGAGGATAAGGAGGTGGAGGAGGAGGAGGAGGTGGAGGAGGGGGAGGGGCAGGAGGAGATGAAGGAGGAAGAGGAGGAGGAGGAGGAGGAGCAGGAGGAGGTGGAGGAGGGGGAGGGGGAGGAGGAGATGAAGGAGGAGGAGGAGGAGGAGGTGGAGGAGATGAAGGAGGAGGAGATGAAGGAGGAGGAGGCGGCGGCGGCGGGCTCCTGGGTGTCCAGTGTCAGCAGGCGGTGGACAACGGAGAGGCTTGGGGTTCCCCCCTCAACGCAAGCGTATGCTCGGCATCGCTCGCAGCGCGAGGCGTGAGCGGCAGGCCCCTCCAGGCGCTGCCCGTGCACGGCCCGCACCGATCTAGCGCACGTCGATCCAGAAGCAAGCAGCAACGACGGGGAGAGACCCCGAGGGGCACAGGGGGGAGCGCGGGGCCGTCCCAAGCGGCGAGAGGCGATCAATGTGCCCCCCCCTCCCCCGCAAGGGGGAGCGAGGACCACACCGTTCACCAACCCTCCACCAGGCACTGCCCCCCGAGGGGGGGAGGAGACACACGGGCGGCGGAGGAGCGGGAAAGGCGGGCGGAGCGGAAGAGACGAGCGACAGACGTCGACGAGCGAACGACGGAAACGACAGCAGAAGGGATCGTTACACTAGGCACTGAAATCTGCAAATCTGCCTCCAGGTGCCAGCTGCTGGCCTAACAAAGGCGGGGAACGTAAACCACGTTCGCAGCTGCTCAGGGAGGGGGCAAAGACAGGGCGGTGCACACTCGACAAAACCTAGCCCAGGTTGGCGGCGGAGCTCGAGCTGGCGCCGATCGCCTCGAAGATCTTCTGACCCTCCAGCTCCAGATGCCCCGCAAGGAGGAGGAGGAGGCGGAGGAGGAGGAGAAGGAGGCGGAGGAGGAGGAGGAGGAGGAGGAGGAGGAGGCGGAGGAGGAGGAGGAGGAGGAGGCGGAGGAGGAGGCCTCCTCCTCCTCCTCCTCCTCCTCCTCCCTGCTGAGGCCTCCGTGAGCATCAAGTAACACCCGAAGACGTCCAGAAACCTCTTGCTTTGACATATCCGGGAGGCATCTGGCCTGTGGGTACCCTCCGGGGGGACTCCGTGGACCTCCCGGGCCCCTGGTGTGAAGTTTCTGGCTGGCGGGTCACACGGATGGCAGGGCCAGATCGCTCGTGAGCTCCTTGACGCTGCCGTTCCCATGCTGCGATGAACCCGTCCCGTCTCCTTCTCCTCCTCTGGGAGAACGAAAAGTGGCATAAACATAAAAATTCGGAGGTCCGCGCGGACTTTTCGGATCGGCGCTGGAGCCATGGGCGGCGCCGCCAAGGGGTCCCAGCTCCGATCCGAGAAATCCGAGCGGACCTCAGAGTTTTTATGTTTATGCCACTTTGCGTTCCTCTATCCTCCACAATTACTCAATATGAGTGCTACTCTACCTCTTCCCCTGATGACGGTTGAAAGTGCTCGACCCCCCCCGCGCACTTTTTTTTTACCCACAGGTTTCCCCGGAGTTGGGCTTTCGCCTGCATTTGTTTTCAAAATGCTGCTCTCGCTGAGGCGCCGGCCTCATTTTCGGGCCCCGCTCGTTCCGAATCGTGCTCCCGCTGCAGCGCTGGCCTCATTTCCGTGCGTCCGCTCGTTCCGAATCGTGCTCCCGCTGCAGCGCTGGCCTCATTTCCGCGCTTCCGCTCGTTTCGACTCGTGCTTCCGCTGCACCGCTGGCGTCATTTCCCGTGCCATGCCACGGCATGCAATGCAATGCTAGGTTGATGCTACGCTTTGCGGTGCTCTTCTACGCCGTGCCATGCCGTGCTCTCCAATGCATCGCGTACCCTTTCGGGACCATTGCCCTGCTCGACATCCGACTGAACGAGCAGAGAGGGGATCTGCGCCATGGTAAGGGATGGGAGGGAGGGGTAGGATGTCAGATATGACGCGAGCGCACCTGGCTCGTCCTCCTCCCCCTCCTCCTCCAGCCTTGGAAGGGCGCCGGCTGCACCCCTGCGCCGATCCTGGCCAGGCTCATCCTCTGGGCCCAGGCCCGGCCAGGCCCAGGCCCAGGCCCAGGCCCAGGCCCGGCCAAGATCGGAGGTGTGCGGTTGGTGCCCCCCGTCCACTGCCTTCCCCCCGGGGGGGCGCGGGAGGGAGCTCACCACGGCCACCCAGCTGAACTCCTCGTTGCCGACCTTCTTCGGCACCGTGTAGGTCCCGGACCTGCCCGTGTGTGTGTGCGTGTGTGTGTGTGGGTGGGTGCGTGTGTGTGTGTGTGTGCTTCAGCTCCTCTCGCGGCCCACCGCGAGTGCCCCGGTTGATCCCCCATGGGCAGCTCCCTGGCTCGCACGCTGCGTGATCTGGCCTGGCCGCGCGCGCTCTCCCGCTCGACTGACTGCCTACACATATGTATGTCTGTATATATACACATATGTAAGTATGCATGTCTGTAAACACATATTTGTTTACACATACATATAGGTATGCATGAGTGTACGCATACGTACATGCACGTTCATACGCTTGCATGTATGTATGTATGGTTGCATGTATGTATATTTGTATGTGTGAATGTATGTATGCATGTCGACATGTATGCGTGTGTGTGTGTGTGTTTGGTTACGCGTAGGTATGTGTGCTGGGTACATGTAGGTATGTCTGTATGTGTGTATGTATGTATGTATGTGTGTACGGATGCATGTATGCATGTATGTATGATTGTAGTTATTTATAATTACATATCTATATACGCGTGTGTGTGGTTTGTGACTGTGTTCGGCCGCGCGGTTGTCTCCGTTCCCACAGTCTTGGCCGCGATGCTGCGCTCGGCCGCAGCTGCCGCGGAGCACTAAAAGACCCAAGCGTGTGCGCGCGCGCGCCTCGGCATCTGCGGGCCGCAACGCCGGCCAGGCTTCCAACAGGCCTCGAAGTCGGCCCCCCGACGCCACGAAGAGGTGTCTCCTCCTCCTCCCCCTCCTCCTCCTCCTCCTCCTCCTCCTCCTCCTCCTCCTCCTCCTCCTCCTCCTCTCCCTCACCCTGCCCCTGCCCATGCCCCTCCTGCGCCCTCCTCCTCCTCCTCCTCCTCCTCCTCCTCCTCCTCCTCCTGCCAAGCGGCAGCCGTTCCGCGCCCGCGTGGGCCGGCCTGGGCGTTCCCGATGCGATCTTCGGAGCGTCGTTGCATCGGGGAGCCATCAGAAACCATGAGACATGCAGAAGCGGCAGCTAGCCGTGAATAGGCTCATGCAGAAGGGCCAGGATGTCCTCCTCTACTATCGTCCTTCCCTTTCCCGCGCCCCCTCCCTCTTCCTCTCCCTCCTCCTGGTGAGCACTGGTGTCGCTGCGCAGCACTCCGGCAACAAAGCGCAGGGGCCCGCCGCCTTGAACAGCTACGTTGCTGAAATCAGCGTGCGCGAGAAGAGCGAGCAGCGGCAGCAGACCCTGGCCTGGCTCCGTGAGCGGGCGGGAGTAGAGAAACAGCCCGACGTGCTCAGCTACAACGCCGACAGAGCGTGCGAGAACAACAAGCGATGGCAGCAGGCGCTGGCTATACTCCGAGACACGGAGACGAAGCTAGAGCCTGACGTCCTAAGCTACAGCGTTGGATCCACCGAGTGCGAGAAGGGCGAGCAGTGGCAGCAAGCTCTGGCTGGAACGCGAGATGCTGGAGGCAGGCTGAGAGAAACGTGCGTGGGGGCCACGATCAGCTACAACGCTGGGGGCAAGCCGTGCGAGAAAGAGAGCGAGCAGTGGCAGCGGACGCTGGCAGTGAGCAACATGTGCTGGTGGGCGATCAGCTACAACGTTGGGAGCAGTCCGTGCGAGAAAGGGATCGGGCAGTGGCAACAAACGCTGGTGTTAAGAGAAACGGGCGGGCATGCCACGATCACCTACAACGCCGGGAGCAGTCCGTGCGAGAAAGGGCGACCGCAGTGGCAGCAGACGCTGTTGCTGAGCAAAACGTGCGGGTGGGCGATCAGCTACAACGTTGGGAGCAGTCCGTGCGAGAAGGGGCGAGCGCAGTGGCGGCGGACGCTGTTGCTGAGAGAAACGCGCGGGTGGGCCACGATCAGCTACAACGCTGGGAGCAGTCCGTGCGAGAAAGGGCGAGCGCAGTGGCAACGGACGCTGGTGCTGAGCGGAACGCGCGGGTGGGCCACCATCAGCTACAACGCTGGGAGCAGTCCGTGAGAGAAGGGGGGCGCGCAGTGGCCGTGGCTGAGCGGAATAAATCCCTCAGACCCTGGCGCTGCGAGAAAACGGCTGCGAAAGGTGGGAGGCGATGATAGAGCCCGACGGCATCTAACTAACTCCGCTAGGAGCAGTCGTTCACGAAAGTGCAGGGGCGTACATCACCAACTACAGTGCTGGGATCAGCTCGTGTGTGGAAAGGATGGGGAGTCATCGTGCGAGGCAGGGTTGCCGTTCATCGGGAGCCAGTCGAACGCCTCTTGCGAGAAGCGGGGGGTGAAGCTGGAGCCCAATATCGTAGAGAGCACCAAAGCCAGCCTCTTGCGACAAGCGGGGGGCGAAGCTGGAACCAAATTTAGTCGGACGTGTTCCTCCGCCGAAGGGTTGAGATCAATTCATGCGAGAACACTTCGGGAATCGTGGGGCCGGGAAGGATCTCAGCTACAGTGCGGGGATCGGGTCGTGCGAGAACCAAGGCAATGGCAGCATGCACTGTTGCCGCGGGGATCCGACGAGCCAGTCTAGGCTACAGTGCCGAGATCAGCTCGCGGAATATTTTGTGAGAGAAGCTCCTTTGAGGCAAGCAAGCCCTCAGAGGGCACGGCGTTCTGGCTCGGCTCGGGGGCGGCCCGACGCGGCCAGGACGACCCGCGGCGCGATTCCATGGGGCACCGTGCCCGTTCGATCAGCAGAATCCTGCAGAATCCTGCAAGACCGCCGAAGTGGCCCCAAGATGCCCCTCATATCGGGGGCGGCCAAGAGGGGGGCGTCCAAGAAGGGGGGGTGCAAATCATGACCAGCGGCATGTGCGCGGCCCAGCGGGGGGGCCAGGGATGTAATGAGATGAGAAGAGGTGCCATGACATCTGGGGAAATATCATGGCCCACGCCATGGTATCCCCCCCCTAGTCATCACCCCCCTCTTTGCCGCCCCCGATCATAAGTATGGCCCAGGCAGAGGACTCCCATACTTCAGCGACGCAGCCTCCGAACCAGGCAGGGGCAGAGGCATGCATGCCCCAGGCAGAGGCAGGCAGCCTCCGAACCAGCAGCCGTCGTTTTGGCATACGCCTCCGTCTGCCCCGCTCTCTGCGCCCAAGCCGTCCCAAGATCGCTTCGGGACGGCCCCCCAAGATCACTCGACAGTCCCACGATTCTTCCCCAGTCACAGAGGATGGCTCAACGAGGCCCCAAGATGGCCCCAAAATGTCTCCAAGGTGCCCCAGAGGCCCCAAGGCAACCCACATATTGCCTACAGTGGCCGAAAATGGCCCACTAGGCCCCCAAGAAGCCTCCGAAAGACCCCGGATGGCTCCCAAACTGCCCCACTAGGGCCACAAGACGGCTCAGAAAGGGGGGCCTGGCGGCCGAGGACTGAACCTTTCAGATATGAGCTCTCACGAGGCCAAATTCAGGCCGGACCAAGGCCTGATTGAAGCAGACGTGGCCCGGTCAGCACCGAAAGGTAGTCAAACAGTCGACGGCTATTTTTCAAGGGCGCCTACCTTCGCGCTCCGCGCTGCGCGAATCACTTCGCGCTCCCGCGCCGCCCCCCAGGGGAGACGAGGAGGACGAGGAGAACTATGAGAAGCGCGAACGGCTTCGCGCCCTGCAGGGCGCCCTTGCACGGTAACCCTCCAGAGACTGCCACACAAGAACACACACACACACACAGACACAGACACAGACACAGACACAGACACAGACACAGACACAGACACAGACACAGACACAGACACAGACACACACAGCATGACAGACCACCCCCCCGGCACCCTGACAGTATGCCAGGACGGCGCTCACGTGAGCCTGGGCCTCCGCGGGCGCGCCTCGGGCCACGACCTCCCCCCCTCCCAGAAGAGTCGCCAGCCTGCGGCACGAGGCTGGCACGAACGAGAGAATCGCCCTAGAGGAGGAGGAAGAGGAGGAGGAGGAGGAGGAGGAGGATTGAGGTGCAGAACCACACGTGGAGCGACGATCAAACACGGGTCTTGCGCCGAGATGGCACAGCGACCCTACGCGGTGGCTTACGCGGGGGCCGCCAGCGCAGCACGCCGGTGGAGACAAGGGCGCTTTAGCGCTTACGCGCGACCTTGTGCGGACAGCCTACGCGCCAATGTCTCTGCAGACGACCCCGTTTCCTCGCGTCGCTCACGCGTTGGCAGCAGCACGACGTCTGAAGTCTGCGCTCGGACGCTACTTGTGATCTTCTTGGTGGATCGTAGCCCTGGCCCTCACGGTAGGACACTGTGCTTTTACAGGCGTGCCCCGAGGTTCAAATCCTCAAGAACAACGTACACATTAACCTCAAAGGTCCGCACGGATTTTTCGGGTCCGCGCTGGACCCCCCGCATTGAGCAGCGCCGGAGGCGTACCCAGGGGTGGCGGGGAGGGGGTCCAGCCCCGGCCTCAGGAGTCCGCGCGGACCAGCGAACGTTTGATGCTTATGCAGTTTTTTGTTCTTCGAGAAGCTCCTCAATCTGGTGGAGGATGATCCTCCCGATTTCTGCTTCTGCGGCCTCCAAGGCGCCCAATTGCCAACAAAGCAAACATCAACAGCCAACCCCGTGGACTCGCTCGCCACCACCACGTGGCCCTTGAGTTTCGCCAGCTCCGCCTCGTTCGTCCAAGGTACCGAGTTGGCCTGCTCGCGCAGAGGAGGCGCTCCTCCTCCTCCAGGCCCTCCTCCTTCTCCTCCTCCTCCTCCTGCTTCTCTCTTTCCTCTTTCCCCCACTTTCCTCCTCCTCTCTCTTTCTCTGACTCGGACCCACCCCTCCCCTCCCAGCTCACGTGGCCAGTCGGCTCTGGCCGCGGCGCTTAGGGCGCTTCAGACACGCCGCGACCACGTGGGCAAATGGAGCAACGCGCAGGGAACAACGGAAAGGTCCCTCTCCCCCAGTGGTGAAAGACAACGAACGGGGTGGGCTGGCCTGGTGGGGGAAGTATCGACCTGAAATCGGCGATACGTCGCCGATAGATCGGCGATGGGCCTCCGATAGGGAATCCGCACCGTCCTGGGCAGGTTGGGGCTATCGGGCCCCCCTCGGCGATTCGTGGGCGATGGGGGGTCGAGGCATCCCCCCCTGTGCCTATCCCTCTCTGTCGTTGCCCCTGAAGTGGGTTGGGCACCTCGCTCGCTCGCTCATGGCTGCAGGACGTCGTCGACGTGCAGCCACCTGTCCTGCCCCTCCACCTTGGCCGAGTGCCCGAGGTGGAAAGGGGGGGGGTGCATTGGGGAAGAAGCGGAGAGGAAGAGCGGCAGAGCAGAATGGGAGGCTCAGCGGCCCGTTGCGCACCTCCTCACCTCCGAGCACGACAGCTCCCCTCCGCGGCGACGCAAAGGGCGCGCGCGCCGGCCGACCTCCGCGCCCAGAGACGGGAAGGGTGCCCTGCTGCCCAGGTGTGGAGCGTGCCTTGCGCCGCACCTGTCCCGCCGCGGCCCTCTCCGCGTCGACCCCATGTCTGATCCGCGTCGGACTCGTCGGATTCGTGTCGACTCCGCGTCGAATCCGCGTCGAACCCACGCCAACTCCGCGTCGAGCCCGCATCGAGCCCGCGCCGGGCATAAGCAAAGACACAAACCCTGGGGACGGGCGAGGTCCCCCGAAGGTGCAACGCAGCGTGCCGTGCCCGGTGCGCGCGCCTCAGGGGGTCCGCAGGACACCGCAGCAGCAGGGCAAGCTGCGGGTGACGGCCGCGTTGGCGGGGACGCTGGCGGTGACCGCGGACGTCCTCATGCCTCCTCCTCCTCCTCCTCCTCCTACTCCCTCCTGCTCCTCTTCTTCCTCCTTCTCCTCCTCCTCCTCCTCATCATCATCTTCATCATCATCATCATCCTCCTCCTCCTCCTCCTCCTCCTCCTCATCATCATCATCATCAACATCATCAGCATCAGCAACATCATCAGCATCAGCATCAGCATCAGCATCATCATCACCATCACCATCACCATCACCATCACCATCATCATCATCCTCATCATCATCATCATCATCATCAGCATCATCATCATCATCATCATCATCATCATCATCATCATCATCATTATCATCATCATCATCAATCCTCATCATCCTCATCCTCATCCTCATCCTCATCCTCATCCTCATCCTCATCCTCATCCTCATCCTCATCCTCATCCTCATCCCTCTCATCATCCTCAATCCTCACCTCATCCTAATCATCATCATCATCATCATCATCATCATCATCATCATCATCATCATCTCTCATCATCATCAACATCATCATCATATCATCATCCTCTTCCTCTTCCTCCTCCTCCTCCTCCTCCTTCGCCTCCCCTCTCCTCCCTCCCTCCCTCCCTCCCTCCCGCCTCCTCCTAATCCTCCTCCTCCTCCTCCTCCTCCTCCTGCTCTTCCTCTTCCTCCTCCTCCTATACGAGGGGCAGCACGTCGCGCGTGCCCCGATTTAGCAGGGGAAGCGTCGGTGCTGCCCCTCGCTCTCGTTCCCGCGGTCCCAGGTCGAGCGGCAAGCTGCGGAGCAGCTCTGGACGCCCGGAACGGGTGCAGATAGATGGGCACAGTCTCGGTGACAACTCCTGGGAGCCTCCCATGCCATTCTGTCGGCTCCTGCGAATCCACGCTCGTCGACGCCAGATCGACGCCAGATCGACGCTAACTCGACGCTCGTCGACGCCACATTGGCGCTATCTCATCGGCTCCAGACGGTCATCGACGCGAGCAGACGCTAGAATTGTGTTGTTCCCGTCCTACTTCAGGACCGCATCCCAGAAATAATTTCGAGCACCAAGAAAAGTGTCGAATGTCGAAAGAGTGTCGAAAACAGTGTCGGGCGAGTGTCTCCCGGGGCCGGACGCGTGACAACCCTCGAGGTTCGGTACTTTTTTGTCAGGTGCTCGAAATTCTTCCTGCTGGTCCAGGCTCAAGTAGGCTGGAGCATCTCAACGCCAGAGACGGGCTTCCGTGCCCAGCCTCTCCGTGCCCGTGCCGATCGCCCCGAGCAGCAGGGCGCGGGCGGGCCCCGTGCACGACGAGGGGGCGTGGCACGCGAGGGGCGCCGCCAGGGCCCGAGGCCCGAGCACGGAGGGGGAGGGCGGGGGGCAGTGCGGTCGGGCCTGTAAAGGCAGGCGAGCGGCCTCGAAGAGCGTGAGACCCTCCTCCCTCCCTCCTCCTCCTCCTCCTCCGCCTCCTCCTCCTCCTCCTCCTCGTGTACCCTCCCCAGGATGCCCAAGAGCATCCAACGAACAAGAAGGGCAGCAGGGTACCCTACCCGAAGCGACCTCGACCTGATGCTTCGGTCCGGCCGTGCTTTGCACTCGTGGCTGGCTGGTGCGGACTGGCTCGAGGTTGACTCTCGCTCCCGCTCTCCGCCTCGAGGCGCTCGGCAACCCATGCAAACCCGTATTCCTGCCAGAGCTCCGCGATGGGCCGTGGAGCCTGGCACGGACGAAGAATCGAGTCTCTGGGGAGCACGTTTTTGCCGCCATGCCCCAGTCCCCATGCCACCTGAAGGAGTGGGGGCCTCGGGGGTACGTGCGGTCAAAGTGTCGCCTTGCTCAACCCTGGATGAGGAGCAGAGCCCCTCATGGGCCTCAGTCGAGCCAGGACGAACGAGGAGCGCCAGGGGAAACCCGATGGGCAACCACAAAGCGCATCGAGCGCCTTCCGAGACCGATCTTGCACTCATCCCGAAGTTCTGACTGCAGGGATACGGCAAGCTCATGCCGCCTTGACGTGGGCAAGTGGTGAACAACTGCAAAAACGCCCCCCGCCCCCCACATGAGGAACTTGGTCTCGCCGACAGGGCGCCTACACTTACCCTCATTCGCCGTGAATGCACAACGCTGACATGCAAAATCCATAATTGTGGGGACTGGTGGGTCGGTTTCCCACTGTTCAAGTGGCTTCCGGCACCGCGCGGACCGCTCAACCCTGGACACCCGCAGCCTCTCGACAACGCAGCTCCTCCGGTGTCCGCCCCCTCCGGGCTCCCGGCGGCGCCCAGCCTTCTCTGAGCCCTCGCTGGGGTCGCCGCCGCGTCGGCGCGGCGCGAAGCTCCTTTGAAAACGCCGAGATCGCAAAGCTCCCAGCCGAGTCACCAGACCCGAGGGGCAACCATAGGGGGGGGGGGCTGGCATAGGGGGGGATGCATCGACCTGCAATCGTCGCGGCACGTCGCCGACAGATCGGCGATGGGTCTCCGACGGTGAATCCGGACCTTGCTGTGCAGGTGGCGGCTATCGGGCCCCTAATGGCGATCAAGCGGCGTTTGGGGGATGTCCTTCTACAGGCGGAGCGTGGACGAAAAAGAAAGAATAGTCCAAACATGTGCAACAATAGCAAATCAAATATTCAAAGCATCGTCCTCCGACTTTTTTTTCTCATTATTTTTGGAATATTCGCCCTGTAGAGGGTCAGGCCCGACTTAACCCTATGCCTCCCCCCCCCTACCTCGCTGCCCATCCGGGAAGACCGCGAGGCCCCCCTGCGGCCGCGACGCGCCAGCCCCAGGAGCGCGGCCCCCTCGCCGCGAGGCGGGCGGTCCGCGCGGCGCCCCCCCCCCCCCCCAAGCCTCTGCAAGCGGAGTTACTCAACGGGCCGGCAGCGAAGGGTGCGCTTGCGATGGCGCCCTCAAAAGATGGAGCTTCCGCGCGCAAGGGCGGGGCACATCCCCCCCCGCCCGGAGTCATGACGATGCGTCGGCGTTTTTTTGCCGCCCCGAGGCATCACGCACTAAGTGCGAGGCAGGTGCCCTGTCGCCCCGCTCGTCGCTTGAAGGGGCCCCTTAGCTGCCGCCCCGTTTGCTGACGCCCCCTTCGCAGGGGCTTGGCCCCCACGGCTCTGCGCGCGGCGGGGCGCCCCCCGGCCCGCCGTGCGGTGCGCACCGCCGCGCGCGCTTGTAGCGGAGGGTAGCGACGAGACCCGGGCACGATCGCGTCGGGCAAGAAAGATCGGGAGGGGAGGCTTTCTGGGCCGATGCTTTCAGCCTCGGCGGCCCTCGCCGGGCCTCGGGACCGTCAAGGAACGACTCAGGACGAAGACCCGGTCCCTGGGAAAGGATCGACACTTCCAGGGACCCCTTATAGTGGAGGCCAGTCCACAAGAAATCTTCCACAAGAAACCCAACCCTGAGACCCCGGGACGTCCATGGATTCTCGGTGTGGGAACGTCACACTCTCCATCGCAAAACCATCGAGACCCAAGAAACCCAGGGCACCCTGGAGGTACGAGAGGTGTTTCTTGGCATGGGCCTTCACTGGAAGAGAGCGGGGGCCATGGCCAAGGGGCCAAGACCGAGCGCGGAGGCGTCTTGTCGATGTTGGTCACCGTCCATGTCCTGCGGAGCATCCCGGCGAGGGCCGGCGCGGTCGGCATGGACCAGGACCGAGATCAGCGTCGTCGAGGGCGTCCACGAGGGGGGCGTCTAGGAGGGGGGGCGCAAATCATGGCCGGCGGCATGTGCGCGGCCCAAGGGGGGGGCAGGGACGTAATGCAACGAGAGGAGGCGCCATGAAATCTGAGGAGACATCATGGCCCCCGCCATGATAGCCCCCCCCCCTGGTCATGACCCCCCTCCTTGCCGCCCCCGAGACCCGGTCGGCGCCGACGACATCCGGTCACGGTCAGCGCACTTCTTCCCCTCGAGTTGGCGCTCGCAAGCGCCAGCCCAGTAGTGCGGCCTGCGCCGAGGCGGGCGCGGCGGCTCGCGGCTCACGCCGCCCCTGGGGCCTGCGCACCCCAGGGGGCCGCGCGCTGCCAGCACCCCTCGCCGTCCTGTGCGGGTTGCCGCACGCGGTGAGCGTCGCGTTCGTGTTCGCCCCGTATCTGTATGGGAATCCGCACGCATAAGTTTGTGGCCCAGATTCGGTGTGCCACGACCATGTTGCCCTTCCTGCTAAGGCCGGCGCGCGAAGCGTCGTGTTCGCTTCGCGTCGGAGCTCGCACATCGGAACGGCCAGGCGCATCTGCAGCTGGTTCATCACACCTGGCAGGAAAAAAAACAATGCAAATCAAACCTGGTGTTTCCTTCGTGTGAAATTTGGGACGTCATGGCCGTCGGCTGCTGCGCAATAGGGACAAGGACATTCATGACTACCACCACGATCACCACGTGGGGGGGATGCAGGTGAGCAGGATGACCTGAAGCGCCCCAAAAGGTACTACACCGTCGCCCCCCACCCCCAAGTCGGTGGTGAGGGTCGTCCTTTCTCCTGTTTCAACTCCTCAGGAGAATCCCGAACTCTCCAGATGCCTGGAGGGCTCCGACGGCCTCCTGAGGCCCAGGAACGCCAAGAAGCGTTCCACACCCTCGGCCCTCGGTCCTCTACCGCAGGCCTCGTACTTCTTGATGTTCTTCTTGTCCCAGAGCGAGGCGACCCCCAGCTCCACGTCGCCAGTCTGCATGGCCTCCGTCAACGGGGTCACCTCCCGCGCTGGCACTTCGGGGGGGGGGGGGGCACGCTGGGAGCGACGCCCTGCCCCTCGTCCCTCCTGCCTCGCCCCCCGCTCCTCACGCGAAGTGCCACCGGGCCCCTCGACTCGAGTGCCCTCCCCCGAAGGATGCAGAGACACGTGGCCTTGGTCGTTGTATGATGTCTTCTCCTCCCCACACCCTCCTACTCTCCTCCTCTCCCTCCTCCTCCTCCTCCTCCTCCTCCTCCTCCTCTCCTCATCCTCTTCTTCTTATTATTATTCGTCTTCTTCTTCTTCTTCTTCCTCCTCCTCCTCCTCCTCTCCTCCTCTTCTTCTTTTTCTTCTTCTTCTTCTTCTTCGTCTTCTGCTTCTTCTTCTTCCTCCTCCTCCTCCTCCTCCGCCTCTACTCCCTCCTCCCTCTCCCTCCTCCCTCCTACTCTACTCCTACCTCCTACTCTCCTCTCCTCTTCCTCCTCCTCCTCCTCCTCCTCCTCCTCCTCCTCCTCCTCCCATCACTGCCTGCGATCATCTCCCGTGTATTCGGCGGGGCGGTCTCCAGGCTGCAGGGAGTCCAGCGGCCCCCGTTTTGAAAGGCGGCCGCCTGCCGCACTCGGCGCAGTCCAGCGCGCCGGATGGTGCCAGGCGCCCTGAGGCCACGTGGGCTGTCGCGCCCAGGACACTCGAGGGCAATCGCTGCGTGCGTTCGCCACGGCTGGCTTCAGGTCAGAGAGCGCCGCTGCAGCAACGCCGTATGAGGACTGCCCTCCCCTCTCCTCCGAAGACGTGTTGAGAGTGTCCCGCCCTCCCCGTGCAGCATTTCTCAATCACAGGAGTTGGCAAGTTTAGACGTCTCTCCTGCTCCTCCTGCTCCTCCTGCTCCTGCTCCTGCTCCTGCTCCTGCTCCTGCTCCTGCTCCTCCTCCTCCTCCTCCTCCTCCTCCTCTTGTGCCTGTCCCATCCGAACGTTCTCGGTCCTTCCTGAGTGGTGCTCCCGCTGCAGCGCGGGGCCCATTTCAGGATTGCGGCTTTGCTCGCGTCGTTCAGCAGCATGGCGCTCTCGCCAATGGGGCGAGAGACTCCTCTGTATCCGAGTCCTTCCTCATCGTGATCGCCCCCCTCCTGTCCCCTCCTCCGCCTTCCCCTGGTTCTCCTGCTCCTCCCGCTCGTTTCACTCCAATTCCCGCTGCTGCTGTTCGTCTTCGCCGTCCTCCTTCCTCATCATACTTATCATCCTGCTTATCCGCTACCTCAGCCTCCCGCGCGTTTTATGCACGCAGCTTCCCATCTCCGATTGCGCGAACCACACTTTTTGTTTTTGGAATGTCAAGGTCCGCCATGAGACGCGTCCGTAGCGCGATCGCACCTGGCTTGCCTCCCTGCTACCTCCCTTCTCATCTCCTCCTTCACTTCCTCCGCCCCTCCTTGTCTTGCCGTCCTCCCCCTTGCCCCTCTCCCCCTCCAGGAGAAAGAGAGCAGAAGGATGAACGAGAGAGAAAGAGAGAGATATAGGCGGGAGGGAACAGAGTGGAGAGCACGAGGGTGAAGGTGGGGAGGCAGCCCAGGAGAAGAAGGAGAAACAGCACTACGAGTGTGAGGAAGAAAAAGACTCACACACACATGTGTGCTCCCCTGCCAGGCGGACGCTCCCCCCCCTCTGATCCAGGTCGATGACGTTCGTGGGGTCGATTGTGAAGACGACTTCCTCTTGCGAGCGCTCTCTCTCTCTCACATTTCCCTGCTTTCCTACCCTGACCTCCCTCGCGCCTCTCCCTTCGGGGGCTGCTAGAAGCGCCCCTGGCCCTTGTTGCTAGAAGGTCCTACCCTGGCCTTAGGTCGGGCATGTCCCCCGTCAGGCGGATTTTTGACGATAAGTAAAACATAGTCAAGGCCGTGTGCGTGGCTGGGAGGCTGGTCCCCTCCGGCGCCGCCCCTGACGAGCTCCGCGCACCAGGGAGGGGCTCCAGCGCCGATCCGAGAAATCCGCGCTGACCTCCAAATTCTTATGTTTATGTCATTCTTCATTCCCCTAACGACATTCGTTTCAGAACCGACTCCGCTCTGGGTCTCGGCATGTTTGCCGGCATCTCCACGTACAGTGGGTAACCCTCGTAGCACATGCGGTTCGCGAAAGGCTTCTCGATGGCATGGCGCCCGCTGTGCCATCCCCCACGCGTGCGGGGGATATAGAGGTCCCGCAGACGGCCTTCTTCCTCCTCCTCCTCCTCCTCCTCCTCCTCCTCCTCCTCCTCCTTCCTCCCTCCTCCTCCCCTCCCCCTCCTCCCTCCTCCCTCGTCCCTTCCTCCTCCTCCTCCTCCTCCTCCTCCTCCTTTTCCCTCCTCCTCCTCCTCCTTTTCCCTCCTCCTTCTCCTCCTCCTCCTCCTCCTCCTCCTCCTCCTCCTCCTCCACCCTCAAACTCCTTCTCCCTCCCCACTCCTGCTCCCTCCTGGACGCCAACACACCCGCAATCCCGAAACTGGGGGCGAAAAGGGCCGAGGCGGCAAGAGAGGCGGGTGCGCTGACTTCCTAGCTGAACGAAGCGACTGCTGCTCCCTCCACCTGTTCCTCCTGCTACTGCTCCTCCTCCTGCTCCTCCTCCTCCT